GCCTGACGGAATGTACCCTGTGAATGGAAAGGGCTTGGCATGGGTCGAAACCCGTGTTACAGAGGAGGAAGTGCATGCATAACACGGCTGCAAGGTTGATAGCAAAGATTAAAACACCAGGGGCACCACCAGCATCAACGGGGAGAAGAGACTGGAGCGTGGACGTAATTCCCAAGCTCCTAGGCTAAAGGTCAGTGGGTTAAGACGCTGCTGTATACAGAGGTGACTCGTTACCTGGATTTCCAAGTGACCGAAGGGAGCTTTGTCTATAAGGGAGGGAAAATCGATAAGGTTCCTTCCACTGAAGCCAGAGCCCTAGCCTCTAGCTTAGTGGGACTATTTGAAAAACGTCGCTGCAGGAAATCCCTAGGGTATGTTGCCAACGTTGAAGAAAAAGATTCTAGAACTTCTGAGGGCGTTGATCCTAAGAAGACTTCAATGTGAGATGTGTACAAGAAATTTGATTTGGGGGACCAGCAGTTAGCATAATAGCTATGTTGCTGGACTCCCATGTAGTCGACCACGGTTCGAGTCCCGGACCTGGTGGCTTAAACTCACACAGGGCATGTGCGTGCATGCCCAAGATCCGGAGAGGAGAATGGAGGAGAAGGGGTTGCAGCGTGGCCATCCGCCCTGGGGGGTGATTTCGCACTTCCTGTCTCTCTGTCTCTCTCTGTCTTTTTGGCGAGCACATGTACTCTATAGCAAAAACCTCTTCAAAAAAAAAAAAAAAGAAAGAAAAAGAAAAAGAAAGAAAGAAACTTGATTTGGGCCACGATGTGATAGATTTTTACTGGTCAAACTCTTGCACTTTACGGAACTGATGACTACTTAGATCAACCATGTCGTGAAACCATGAATAGCATCAAACTTCACAGTGAGTCCTTGGCAAGATATGGTAAAAGCCCATACCTTTATCCACTCTACGGCCTTGGAGAACTGCCACAAGGATTTGCAAGGCTAAGTGCTGTTTATGGAGGTTCTTACATGCTCAATAAACCAATTGAAGAAACCGTTGTGCAGAATGGAAAAGTTATTGGTGTAAAATCTGAAGGAGAGATTGCTCGCTGTAAGCAGCTCACCTGTGACCCCAGCTATGTCAAGGATTGGGTAGAAAAAGTGGGCCAGGTAATCCGTGTCACCTGCATCCTCTATTACCCCTCAAGAATACCAATGATGGGACCAGCAGTTAGTATAATGGCTATGTCGCTGGACTCCCATGTACTCAACCGCAGTTCGAGTCCTAAACCTGGTGGCTTAAACTCAAGTCGGGCACATGTGTGTGTGTGTGCCCAAGATCCCAAGAGGAGAAAGGAGAAGAAGGGATTGAGGAATGGCCATCCCCCCAGGGGGTGATTTCTCGCTTTCTGTCTCTCTGTCTCTCTCTGTCTGTCTGGCGCGCACAAAAAAAAAAAAAAAAAAAAAAAAAAAAGAATACCAATGATGCCAACTCCTGCCAGATTATCATTCCACAGAACCAAGTCAGCGGAAAATTGACTATCTACATTCGCATGGTCTCCTTTGCATTCAACGTGGCAGCACAAGGGAAGAACGTTGCCATAGTCGGTAGGACTGTGGGAACCAAGGAGCCTGAGAAGGGAATCGGATCAACTTTGATGCTCTTGGAACCAACTGAACAGAAATTTGTTAGCATCAGGGACACCCTTGTACCCAAAGATTGGGGGACAGAAAGGCAGATTTTTTATTTCTCACACATGTGAAGCTACAACTCATTTTGAGACAACCAGGGATGACATTGAAGACATCTATAAGAGGATGAAAGGACCTGAATTTGACTTTGAGGAAATGAAACGCAAGGAAAATGACATCTCTGGGGAAGACTAACAGCAGTTGCTATTATGTAACTAGGGCAAGTTCAAAAATTGACAAATAATGCATACTATATGAAATAGTATGGCCTACTTTTATCATCAAAATGGAGAGTGAAGAGCGCGTTATCAGTAAATATTCCTCACCTTCATCTTTCTAATACCTCGTATTGACTTTTCATGGAGTGGCTCCTCAGAATGGGCAGGTTACCGCATTCTGTTCGATTTAACCAAACTGGCTTTTTTTTTTCCTAGTGAATGGTCAGTTTTACACAGAACACTGTGACACTGATACAGAGAAATCGATCCAGTACTCGTATCTTTCGATCAGTGTCGCTTTTGGAATTATTTGCTTCGGCTGCTTAAGAGCTGGGTCCCTAGGAATTGGGTGCCATTTGGATAGTGAGGTACTAAACTGAATATAATCTGGGACAGCGTCCCTAAGCTTCCCTGTAACTTCATGTTTTTGTTATGTCAAGTATTACAGCAGGGCCCAAATAACATAGCCACAAGTTTGGTTTGTGGGGGCATAAAATTCTAACCAAGCTCCAGGCTTAGGGATTCATTTGGAGGAACCAGTAGTGTTCCTAACTGATGAAACTGATGAGACACAGGGGAGAAGCACCAATGTCAGAAGCAGGTAAGCTGTAGAAGCATCTTTTGTACCCCAGGCATGGTTTCTTCCATGGACCAAGCTGCCATGCAGTACTGATTTGACAGAGCCTCTCAGTGACGCCTCTCAGAATGGCTCCAAATGATTTCTGTACTGCAAAATAAAGCCAAGCTCTGGAAACCAAAAAAAAAAAAAAAAAAAAAAGGTTTAAAAACTAATTTAGGCAATGGACGCAAGCACTAATTGCTTAGATAATAACAAAGAGCAACAAACGACTAAGAATGAGGATAATAACTGAGCATTTACTACGAAGCGGGAACTGGGCTGAGAATCTGTAGGTGCGTCTTAATCCTCACAACAGCGCTGAGACGGATCCTGGTATCACTTCCATTTTTCACAGGAAGAGAGTGAGGCTCAGAGAGCTGAAAATGACCCCCAAGTCACAGGGCAATTCAGATTTGAACCCAGGCATGTGTGATTGCAAACTTCATACTCAGCCCCCCTCGCATACCCACATCCAGCCCAGCTCTCACACCTGGCCCGGAGCTCGCAGATCCCGGGGCCGAAGCAGACGGAGGCCCGCCCACTTCCCACACCCACCTCCGTCCACGCCCACTGCCCCGCCCCTCCCCGGACGGGCCACGCCC